TATTTACTCGTATCTAGGCGGACCCCGATCATAAACAAACCCCCTAAAGTTCAAAGCCCATAAAAAAAAAAAAGCTTACTTCGAATGTAGGCCGAGTGAAAGTCGAACGAAACAGCAAAGACAGCATTCACAAAGAGAAAACATTTATTGAACATCAAGCTAAAAAAACAAAGCAGTTTGTTCACTCAAGAAACATACAGTCACTAGTCCTGTCTTGTGTGTCTCTTTGTCATCATTTTTTTTTGCCCTGCTTCTAGTTATTTGCATCAAAAAGATGCCGTGCTTGTCCTTGCCGCGCTCATTCCGAGTAGTCGCCGCTGCTTCCTTTGTCACTGACTTCTTTGTCACTGTCTTCAAACAGTGCGCAATCCTCAGTGTCATAAAGCGCATTGGATATGCCGCACCTCTTAAATAAGAGCGCACAATGAAAGTTCCCTGGCTGACATCTCTAGCTGCAGCCCCTCCAGCTACGCACAGTTTTTTCGTTCACTCCTAAGTCCCGCTCCGCTTGAACATTGAACAGCAACTCCATGCCTAGGACAACTTTCCTTTTATAAACAGCACTCTAATGACACTGCCTGTTTGGCGCCATTAAGCTACGCTAAACACAGGCCACTTGAAATGCGACTTTAAATGATAAATGGCTTGCCTCAACACTCGCCACAAAGGTCGAAATGGCAGCTTACGTGTGTACTTAAGCCAGCTGTTGGCTTGGCTACTAGCAGCTATAATATCATCTAGGTGGCGCTAGGCGTGCACCACTTTCTCAATGAAAAATGACTAATTTTTCAAAATTCTTGAATCTAAGCCAACCGTGGAGTTTGATGCGAAGAAATTTGGAAAAAAAAAACTAACCACCTAGATTCAAATAAATACGGTATTCTCCTGCACATCAACTTTCACAATCAATAAAAATATGTTGTATTATATGGTTTTACTTGTAGTTATGGCCCGTCAAAACATGCCCTTGCGCAAGGGTAGGCAACGGTAGATCGGACTTCGTGCCCACTAAAGTATGAAATGCAGGCCTATACTTCTGTTTCTTAAAAAACAAGCAGCACTGAAACAGCGATCGACTTCACTGAGGTTGCCGATTTGGAAACGGTTTGGTCAAGGGAGTGGTCATAAGTGCAGGATTACCGAACAAGCAAGCGCGCACAGTCTATGTTTTGGTGTGAAGAGGGCTTGTGAAATAAGGCCTTTGAACAAGACTGAGCACAACATGTGGGTCTGAATATTGTTAATAATTAGAAATTAGTGTTGTACGCGTGGGGTTCATTGAGGCACTGTGGCGTCAAGCTGTGATGTATAAGTCGGTAACTCTGTGAAAATTACGTGTCCTTGAAATGAGCTTCTTGTGCTTCGAATGGTAGTTGGCAATATAATTTTGTTAGGAGTGCTAAGGTGTTTATTAGCCGGCACACAGCGAGCATACACAATGGCGACAGTCACAGCCAAGCACGGACTCCCAGCGTGAGCGGCGTCTTTTTTTGGGTAGACCCACTAGAAAGCACTTGAAAGTTCGACCCATTTTAGTATTCGGAGGCTTCTCTACAGTTCCCTTATGATTTGGCTCCTGGATGAACGCCTTTATACTTTTCACTGAGATGAATCAATTCGTGCAGCACAGTTTCTCTAGATAAAGCGGCTGTCACTCGCGTGCGGAAGGCGAGCGCTCGCTGCTTCCTGACAAGAGTTTTCTGGTGCTTCCCACCGAGGGAACACAGTCAAACTTCAACTTCCATGTTGATGCCTCAAAATGTTTCTTGTGTGGACGTTGAATGCGGTCAGGGAACTTAGGGCTACAGATAGTGAATCTGCGACTTTTGCCGATTGCCCCTGTTTACGCACCAAGCGTGTGCGTTGGAATCCAGCCGTGCCCAAGTTAGATCAGTCACCTCGGGATACTTTTGCTTAAATACACAAGTACTCCTTGCCCCGGAACATGCTGCATTCTGCGTGCTTACTTGCTCGTTAATCCAGGAGTCATGGCTGCTCCCTTGACCAAACCATTTCGAAATTGGCGTCCTCAGTGCAGTCGCCAGCTATTTCAGTACTGTTCACCTTTTAAGAAACTTGAGTATAAGCCTGCATTCCATACTTAGCGGGCAGAAAGTCCGATCTATCGTTGCCTATCCTTGCGCGAGGGCATTTTTTTATTGGCTGTAACTGCAAGTAATACCATATAATGGAGCATATTTTTTTTGTTTGTGAAAACTGATGTGCAGGAGATTTAGGGGGGGGGGGGGGGAATATAAAAGAAAACATTAAAAATACTTTTTTTAATCATCATCAGAAGTTTCCCTTGCATGCTCTTTTCTTGAAGTTAAGTGCGATTATATCTTTTGATTGAAAAGTGTTATTAATATTAGTTTTGGCAGTTTTATAAACAAGCATGCTGAGAAAGTATTGTGCAGTTTTCACCGCTCTGTCATAGGCTCTTTTTGAAATAAAGGCCTGCAAACTCGGCAAAAAAAGTTTTTAAGTCAAATCTGAGAATTTTTATTTAAAAATGTACACTATGCAGAAAATCGAAATATACTTGATTGCAAGTGCAAGTATACACATATATTAAGCTAAAGAAATGAGAGGTACGTAGCTTTAACATATTTTGTGTAATTCATCCCCAAATAAAAAAAAAATAGCAAAGCAGGTAAGCGTGGCACTCCACCTCGTCGTCATTATTGATTTACTGTGCTACAAAAACATTTTTCCAGCAAAACCAATTGCAGATCATTTTTTCCCACTCATCAGGCAACAAAATATAAAATTCTGAAAGAAAGTTCAAGAGGCCGACCAACCATGCTTTGTTCGATCTTACGTGGAATCACACAGTAATCTTCATTGGCAGCAGTTCACTTCCACAAGCCTCATAAGTGTGTGAGGCATGTGAATAAAATAAAAATGCATTTAATCGAGTAGCATTTTCTTTGGTTTGTTGACTAGTCAGTGTAATGTTGTCTGATCTACGAGGAAAGAAAATAGCACAGGATTCTTCATGATAGGCACAGTGGCATAATATGTTGGTGTTGATGTCAGTCAATAATTACAATTAACAGCATTAGGAACAAGTTATGTGAAGGTAGTTAGGACATTCTAAAGTTGTATTAATTTCTGCTATACGTAGCTTGTTGAATAAGCTGAATATGAGGTAGTTTAGCACGCAAACAACAGTTTGATATTTAGCGCTGTTGTAGCTGTACAGCCCTTCATGAATGCTCAAATTCTTTCTCAAATGTAGTTTATGCAAGCATACAGACTGGTTAGTGACCCTTTGCATAAGTCTTTAACTTACACTTATAGGGGCTTGCACACTCTAGCATACCAGCTCCTCTATTTTGAAGCAACAGTCACCTTTTTTTTTTTTGCTTGGTAACATGATTATGGGTTACTGCAGCTCAGATGAGCTGTGGGGAAAAACTTAATAAAAAATTAAAATACCCACACGGTGGTTTAGTGGCTAAGGCACTCGGCTGCTGACCCGCAGGTCGCGGGATCGAATCCCGGCTGCGGCGGTGGCATTTTCAGTGGAGGCAAAAATGCTTGAGGCCCGTGTGCTCAGATTTGGCTGAACGTTAAATAACCCCAGGTGGTCGAAACTTTCGGAGCCCTCCACTACGGCGTCTCTCATAAATCATATGGTGGTTTTGGGACGTTAAACCCCAATAATTATTATTATGATCAGCTGCGAAAAAAAATAATAATCAAAGGTACCAATATGGTATTGATAATTTGTAGCTTGCTCCTCTTTCACTAAAAAACATTTTGTAGTTCGTGCTGCTCTTTGAGTTTAAGTAATGGCTCTCATGAAACAGAAAGCTTGGTGCTTTCTCACACTTTCCTTTGCATAGCTTAAGAAGTGAATAAAATCAGTAATGTCACTTAAATTCCACGTTGTTGTTTTTGCAATTACTGCACAAGCATATCTCATGGTTTAAAGTATTTACGGGTTCTATAACTTGCAGTCATGGGGTAGCTACAGGAAAAGGCTGTGCTGTAAAGTTGAGGACGAAAAACTGGACTGGCACAGTTTTTCGTCCTGAACTTTGCAGCGCAGCCTTTTTCTGCAGGATGTTCGAACTAGACCCCACACAAGCTTTTTTTGAATGGGTTAGCTAATGTTGTAGGCCGGTGTGCTCAGATTTGGTGGTCGAAATTTCAGGAGCCCTCCACTACGGCATCTCTCATAATCATATGGTGGTTTTGGGACGTTAAACCCCACATATCAATCAATCAATCTGAATGGGGGTAGCTACACAGTCCATGCATGTGCATTGTGGTACCATCAATAACAGTGGAATGTTTTGCAGTAGAATCACTGCTTATAAGCTATAATTTTTTCAGTTATCTTTTTGTTTCAATAACTTCTTGCCAATGTTTAAGAGCTGTGTTTAGTAAACTCCGAGACATTAGCACTTGCTTCTCTTGAGACCCGTTGATGTGCTTCTCCTGAGACCCATTGTGTCTTGCTTCATGATACTTTTCATTTGATGCAAGCTTTAAAAAAAATGTCTAGAAATGATTCCTCAGCATATTGTAAATGCTATTTCAAAAGAAAAAGAAATGTGCTGAAGGATAGTAATATTTATTGAAAAGCCTGAAGGCTTACCTAGTTGCTTTAGACTAAAACTACTAAATTTCTAAAGAAACTACTTCTAAAGAAACAGTAGGATTTAATGTTCAGTGCTGCACAGTGCACAATGAGGCACAACAGGATGAGTGGTGATAGAGTGGGATCTCTTGGTTGGTCGTGATGTCTAGGGGCTCTTTATTCTCTGATATCCAGGCACACAATCATTTTGGTATTTCGGCTCCCATTGCAGCCACTGTAAAAGAAAGTTGAACCTGTAACGTTCGGCAGTAGACCATAATGACCACATGCACACCACGACATGTTTTCCCAATTTATGTTGCCTCATTTGATTATTTGATTACAAGTGTTGATTGGTTATTTGTGTTTTGCCAAAGCTCATTGAACTCCTTTTTTTGTTCCCTCACAGTTGACCTCTACCATTTCTACCAGTTTTCTCAACGGCTTGGGGGTTATGAAAAGGTATGGCACCCATGTTGCAATTGAGGGTTTCCGAGACATCATTCCTGCAGTCAAAATAAGGCTTCTTCGTGACTTGGTTGCCAGAAACCTTCAGTAAACATCATGAGTACTCATGAAAGCTGTTATGGCTTTTTTTATATAGTGTACAATAGCACCTTGCATGCTTTTCCTTTGGTTTACCAAGTCTCTTTCTGTGGTTGGGATTTTACAGCATGACTTTACTGGTTTGAATAAGCAGTGGTGAGTTTTTGCCAGTTCTGTAAACTATAATCATCAGAAAGTTGTACTAGTGTGCCTACGAAAACTAAAAGACTGTTAAAGGGGCCCTGAAACACTTTTTTGAGTAACCATGGAAATAATTGACTTGAAAACCGTATGACCTCACAAATTCAACACCGCAAAAATTTTAAGAAGTCGTCTAGTACGAGCGGAGTTAAAAAGATTTGTCACACGCTGCAATCGCATTCTCTCTTCTCTCGTCCCGACGAATGTGCTGGAAGCTAAGCAGGAAGGGATGGGAGGGGCAAACGAAAAACGCACTCGTGCTTCGTGAACTTGAGCACTTTTTTTTTTTTTCCCTTAGAATACATGTCTTTTTCAGTGCGATCGCACGCGTGGACAAGTGACGGTTTTTTACGGCAACCTCTGTAACAACCGAGCATGCCATGTTCAAATCTGCCTATGGCTGATAGATGGGCTTACTACGAGTGATTTTTGGGCTTATAGCATGATTTGTTGAGAGAAGAGAAATCTATTTTTAGCTGACTTTGATAATTTATTGTGAATTCCAGGCTGTGTGCTGGGCTATAATATTTGGCTTGGGTGTTGTTGGGAGCCTCTACTACCGATCGTCAGCGTTTTCTGACCATGCTCAAAAAATGTTGCAGGGCCCCTTTAATTTTTTAGAGTGAAATAGATATATGGCACTAGTTATAGCCAGTGGTAGACAATATTTTTTCAGATAATTATGTTCAGATTAATGTTCCATAGCATACTTATATTAGTAGCAGTGTGTTTATGCAATGTCACGATGCATAGAGACTGAACACAAAGAATTTTGTTTATACTTTTGCTTTTGGACATTGTGTTTCCATGTCTATAATATCAAGCTCTCACTTTGAAGAGTTTGTGCAAGTTGGTGAAATGAGTTTTTTCACTGTTGTGCATATTGTTCCATGTCTATACACCAGTCTGCAGTTCTCCTTGAGGCACACATGAAGTAACGCCCTTCAAGTTACTACTAGTGCTTGAGATGCAAACATATTCATCAGGGTGTGTATAGGTTCTTGAAATTCTTGAAAACCCTTGAATTAGAAAAATGCGCTTGCAAGGCCCTTGAAAGTCCTGTATTTTTTTCCCGTCCTTGAATATTGTGAATGTGTTGACAAAGCAAGGACTGAGCTTAAGTGCGATGGCGGCAATAAAACAGATGACCTGATCCTTGTAACAGTGAAGTTAATTGAAAGTTTGATGTGTGCCTCAAGGAGAACCGCAGGCTGGTATTGTAGACATAACATAATATCATTTAGTGAAATATGCACTTTCATATCGACATTGCGACCTCATAAACGCAGCAACAGCAGGCTTTCTTCCCCCTATCTCGCCACTGCTGCTGGGTCTGAATTAGCCAGACAGACCTGCTGCGAAGGCAAAATCTGTGCACACATAGCTTTCCAGCTTCTCCAACACAGTGCTTGGTGCTTTCCTGATAGCTTCTTATATTTTTCTTCAAAATTGGGGAAAAAAAAAAAACACTCGCACGTGCTGTATACTTCTTTCGCGTGCGGCTGCTGCACGGACCTGCAAAATGGCGACCCCGCCGCTACCGCTTCTCGCATATGACGTCAAGTTCATGCCTCTTATACGTTTGTTTATCCTTGTATTAGTCAAACAACATTAAGCTGAATGTTTTGAATGTTTGGTACAGAGCATACAGTAAAGAAATCTCAACCGCTGCTGTAGGAGTCCATTGTGTTGCGAGCTTTTTGTTTTTACTGTGAACCAGGCAACTCATTGTTATATCATTAAGTTATACATTTATTTATATAAGTGAAATAACGCTACATAGGACAATTTGAATGTACTTGAGTAACTTCAAACCTATGCTGAAAAAATCTCAACCGCTTTAAGAGCTTTAGTTGTGAGTTGTGATGTTGAATTAAGACTAGATGTTTGTGTTATTATTGCAATATTAGTTTTTTCTTGTAAGTGCAATAAGATAAATCTTTTCTTATAACATTACAGGGGAAAATTGCTACTTTGCATGCCACTTTGAGTTCTTGAAAAACTTGTGACAGGTCCTGGAAAGTCCTTTAATATCCTTGCATGTTTGTCTTGGAAACCTGTACGAACACTCATTCCTGCAATTCTGTCATCTCCCTGGCTTCAGTGAAACTGTCCTGATGCAACAGTTGGAATGAAAGCATTACAGTGAACTCTCACCTAAAGGAGCTGTGACACAAAAATTTAGCATTTTTTTTTGCAATAGGTAGCTCACGACCCATTTTATCACGGCTGGAAACCGCTATTTTGCACACTATCAGTGTGCAAGGTAAACTAAATGCTTTGGGGTAATTTTTATTTTTATCTTATGGTTGCTGCAGATCACGGGACGCAAGCAGTGGAAGCAGGTCTACGACCAATTGGGAGGTGACCCAAGCAGCACAAGCGCAGCGACCTGTACACGTCGCCATTATGAAAGGTGTGTTGGTCATTGTTTATTTTAAAAAACTGCTTTAATGCAAATGTATGTACACTCCTGTAGTGTGCTTTATATTTTCCCAGTTGCACTCTGCCTGATCTAGAAAAGTAAATGTTATCGACTCTTGCATTCTATTCATGTTTTGGCTAACAGACCTCAGTGAAATTTTTTTCATTATTTAACCTTAAGTGGAATGATGCTAAGCCAACAGACATGAAAAAAAAAAACACATCAGTGACTTGCTTTATTTAATTGAAATATATAGAAATGCTAGCATAACCAAAACTAAATGTGGACGAAGTGAACAACTTGTCGTAGGTAGGATCCAGACACATGCCTACACATATATCAAAGACATTTGAGCTACTCAATGCTATTTTGTTAATCTTCTGTTGGGTATTCATGCGTAGATTATAGATACAACCCTCAATATTTTAGCGGGTGCTACCACTCATGGTCTTGGCAGTAATTGGTGGTGCTGGCTACCCTCGAGTCCGTTGCCTACTTCTTTAAAATTTCAGCAAGAGTTCGAACAGTTGAAAGTACAATTTGTTATTGAGAGATGGCTATGCCCCCTAAACTATTACATTTTAAATTAACAGTATTGTGCTCTCAAATGCAAGTAGCTTCTGCCCCCATTTTGGATGAAATGAAAGAAGCTGGATCACTGTAGTGGCCATTTTTGGTGTAGAAGGTTAATATGTTCCTGCCACAATTCATATGTACCCTGCCAAATATGAAGCATGCTTTGAAATTGATCAGCATCATTTTCTTATTTAAAAGGATACTGAAGAGAAACGATTACTTGGTTTAGATTGACAAACTTCACTTTGAGAACTCTAATGACACATCTTTCTCAATCATAAGTTTATTATTAGCAGAGAAAATGAACGTTGAAGTTTCAATTCTAAATTTCGGGTCAAAATCTCTGCATGTGACATCGAAAATTTTAAAATTTATTTTTCATATTTTTGCGACTTGGCTTGACAAAATTTCTTGAAACGTCGTATGCTAGGTCTATGGCACATATAGATGACAATGTACTGAGTTTTTATCCATGAGAAGCTACATAGGACTCGGCAGAAACCTTCCAAATCTATTATGTCAAGGTGTACGATGCGAGAATCTCAAGGCGGTGTCTCCACCCACATTTACTTTTTTCATGTTTTCTTGCTTACTAAGTGTCGTGTCATGGTAAGATTGGTGTTTTTGAGATTTCGAAATGGTACTTTACTATACGAGCAAAATCATTGTGCTCTTCAGTGTCCCTTTTAACATCCTCACAGTGCCCACTTCTGCACTACATCCGGGATATTCAGATAGGTAAACTCCTTATTTGCCAGAATTACAACAGGAAGACAATATTTATGTCTATAGGTATCAGCAGGATTTCGTCTTGGAAGTGTAAGCATGTGTGGCTGGGTGAGGCGGAAAGCACTGGTGTAGCTTGGGCGAGGGCAGGTGCTGGTCTAGCTATAGCGGCGCTACTGCCCCTTTCACGCTTCCTTGCTGACGCCCATGTTTATGACCTTGCACACGGCTTCCTTTTCAGCAAGGGCAGGCTCACATGTGACGCGGTGACAAACTTCTATCTTCAGTGTTGTGAGGTAGTTCTTGCTTTCAATTATCATCATCTAATCATCATCGTCAGCCTGACTACGCCCACTGCAGGGCAAAGGCTTCTCCCATGTTCCACCAATCAATTAGGTCCTGTGCTTTCTGCTGCCACATTACACCTGCAAACTTCTTAATCTCATCTGCCCGCCTAACTTTCTGTCTCCACTTTATTAGACCTAATAACTCTTTGGAAAGTCGCTAAGAAATTCCACTTGTGGACAGGACCTTGCACTGTAATAAGATATTTTAATGCAGTGAATGATGGTGCTCAAAGTAAATACAAACACCTGTAGCAGCAACAACAGTACAACTTGACAAAAGAACAAAAGTTTCCAACATAATGCCGCATCGGCAGCTTCATCAAACCTTCAACAGATGGCAGCAATTTTGCATAAGGCCTAATGTGTCGTAACTGCATGTGTGCCAGTGTGCATAATCAGCACTACTGGCATATGTTACCACTTGTATATTATGAAAGCAGCTGGACTGAAAACCATGAAAGCACTTACATATTGTTGTGGAAATAATCCAACACCTTAAAAAAAAACAATAAAAATAACTGCTTGCTTGACAAAATATTACTTCGTAAAGCCAGGGCTCTAGTTGTTTGCCTGTCTATGATGTTGTCTTATAAATGCTGTAACGATTACTTTTGTTGAATTGCAATGGCAGAGTGAGAGCAGCCAATAAACTGCAAGTGAGCATTCGACTCTGTTATAGAGCAACACCTGCAAATGTGCGATTGGAGCACAATCCACACTGCCGGAGCTAGTATGGGAAGCAAGTTAGAAGCAGAAGTGGTTGAGTTGCTCAGAACACCTCGCGTGTAGCATTCCGTTTCGCTGATTCCTGTGTCGAATTCTTCGTACGCGGTTGTTCGCTGCCACTCTGTGACGAATTGATTTGCCCAGTAGGCCATGTCGTCCACCATTACTGGCAAAACATGCGACAGCGGCAGCTCCCCCAAGCAGGTGAATGTATTAAGGGCATTCACACAGCGGCCAGGCATGCCGAGTCCACTCCGCCAATTTCAGTGGAGCAACTTCTCCTGCTCCTCGGAGTCACTCCTGCTCTGAATCCACTCCGACTCTCTCATTGGGACACACTTACCCCAAAAGGAGCAGATGAACCAATATGAACCCATACCAACTTGCTCTGACTCCGCTATTAAAATTCAACATGTTTCTTGCAGGTTTCCACCATCGTTGAATTTTCCGTGTTACTGAATTTACTCGCATAATTCTCGCACTTTTTTTTTTGGCAGAAAACCGATGCAAAGTTGGGGGGTGCGAGAAATACGCGGGGAAAACTTTCCACGAAAACGTACAGTGCAAAAAAGAAAACGAAGTGGCCGCAAATCGGTATTATCACATCAGCAACTAACAGCAAGCTTTGAGAAGTACTGATTAAAACTTACCTCAACATTAAAAGCATTGGTTCAACACAAGGCAAGATTTATTTGAGACACTAAAAGTGCTAGCAAATAGTCGGGAATTAGAATACCATACGCAAACCTGGTGGGTGTTGCAGCCGTAACGGTAGCATTCGTCGCGCAACAGGAGCCCTCAAAAGGTAAGTGTAGGACGTCAGTATTTTACTGGTGGCTATTCAATAGAATTGCCCGCAGTTTGCTTCTGAAGAAATAAAGTTTACGATCAATCCCAGTTTTAGGCACACGGCAGGCGTAACGCGTCTTGGTGGGTTTCAGCTGCCGTCCCCAGTAGCGAACACAAAACTCGTAGACTCCGAAGGGCCTACCGGCGGCCCTGTTGTCGTTGTTTAGTGCATGATCTATTACTTTCAACTTGAAAGTAGCCGTGCAGCTTCAGTATCTCCCCATAACGTGACAATATTACCAACACAACATACAAAGCACGCCGCAACGCGCACTTGCCACTTCGGCTTGGCTTGGATTGGTTTGAATCTCCGTGCAGTAATAGTACGCTTGATGCTTAAGAGATGGCGCCAGATGGTGCACGCTATCATCATCAGTGGCTGGAACGAGCAGATGACATCATTGCAGCAGGTTTTGGGGGTGCGATAATTACTCGAGGAAAAAAAAAAGTCGTATTTTTGTTGGGCGATGTGGGGGGTGCGAGAATCATGCGAGTGCGAGAATTAAGCGAGTAAATACGGTATCTCTGTGCATGTGATACTCGGACTTTTCAGCTTTTGATTGCAGTTGAAGAAATGGGTGTCATAATAATTGGTTGTCAGTACCACTAAGATAGTAAGCATACTAGGTGCCGAGCTGCTGTGTGTACTGTCATGATAGCTGCCACCACTGTTGCAAAGCGCGCCTCCGACGACGTTATGAAGGGCGCCACTGCTTCGAACTCCGCTGGGAAGGTCACCAGCCGTTTGGTAGCGTAGGTTTCCCAGCTCGCGACTGCTTCTGGGCAGAGCTAATAGACGAGCGGACGAGACGACGGTGAGATTAACAAGGTTTATGTACAGCATATATACAGAGGCGTTAAAAATTCGGCACTGGGGCCGACAGCCTAGAGACCCGAAGAGCCGAGCTCTCCTCTCTAACACATAGGTCTACTCTCGCGCCGCGCCGCTGGGGTTTTTTTATATGCATTGGGAGGATTCTTTGAGTAACCAAATGTCCAACCAGAAGGGCCGCTGGCCGTGAGGTCAGAATCCTCCAATGGGGTCGCTGCTGGGCCGCGTCATTCTCATCAAATCTGGAGCCGCTGCGCTGCACGTGGCTGCACCCAAGGACGAGTGACGTCGCCACACATTGCGTCAGACTCGCCAGACAGGAAGGCGCCGATTGCTTCGACAGGCTCGCTGTGCGTGCGCGACAGAAAGGCACCGCCGCATGATGACGCCGTTGAGTTGTTCGCGTCAGGCGGGCTCGCGTGCTGGCCTTGACACAGATTGCCCTTTTCAGAGGCATGGACGCTCGGTGTGGACTCGCAGGCATAACAGTACGGACTGGTCTTATTGGAAAGGGCTGTGAATTTTAGGTGTATCAAATGTCGCCCACTGAATATAGATTATGTTAGACATTATGTTAAATTCAGTGGGCATGGGCTCACACTAGCTTATTTCATGCAGTATCAAGGTTGCTACGCCTGCAATACTACTAGTACAGTCGAACTTCGCTATAACGAACGCCCCTTCAACGAAATTTCCGCTACAACGAAAAATTCACAATATTCTGTCAGCAGTCCATAAGAGTCAATGCATATTGTCACCACAACGAACACATTTTCTTCGATCGTCCCGCTTTAACGAAATTTTACGATGCAATTCTAGGCTCAGATACTTATTGCTATGCAGTATAACCAATCTTTAACATTTCGATGCATTTTCAGAGCCTGAAAATGTGCCAACGAAGTCTAAAACACGCGTTGGCACCACCAGAAACCGCT